CATTGTGGATGGACTCACCTCTGAGTAGGTGGGTCTGGGTTGTATGAAAAACAGAATGGGCGAGTCATGGAAAGAAAGCCAGTAAACTGTTCCTCCATGGCTGTGTCTTCAATTCCTGGCTCCAGGTTCCTACCTTGAATTCCTGTCCTGACTTGCCTCAGTGATGGAGTGTAACCTAAGAGTTATCAGAGGAAATCAGCTCTTACTTCAAGCTGAGTTCGAATTTGAATCAAGCTGAGTTTGGTTAAGATTTTATCATAGCAACAGAGAAACTAAAACAAATTTTATGAAATAGGACAAACCACAGTTAACTATGTATCAGTGTTAAAAGATGTAAGGAAGGAGGGAACTAAATGTAAGGATTATGCTAAAAGACCAAGTGTTGGATATGGAGTGTATGGATGCTTTTGAAGTAGCCTACAAGTTTCTATGATTGTTTAAATGAAGATGTTCGCATGGATTTTTCCCCTTTGCTCTGATATAAACTGCCCCGGTATTTCTATCTATACCTTTATTATTGAGGGATGTGGGACAATTACCTCTTTTCTAGAGTATATGGTGTCTCTTTTCTACTTATGGTATTGCCAACAGCAGAGGTGGCTACCCAATCACCTAAGAAAAGGTTTGTTATTGACCCTAAGAGCCTTTATCTAAGTACAAATCAGTAGAAATAGAGCCCATCTCTCTGTGACTTCACAGGTGAGAGACTAGCCTAATGTTGATTTTGTTTGAGGGTCCGGACATATTTGTCAGTTAGTTCCTTATACAGTCTTCAGAATGCATGGAGAAGGTGTGGGTCCTAGTTCTCAGAGAAACTAGGTGACATTGGATTTGTCATTCCGGCTCTAGTGAGTCCAGCAGATTCTTTGGTCCAGAATTATTGTTGCTATATTTCCTAATAATTAGGTATTTTCATATTCAAAAGTCCATTTACATCCTCTCCAATTTCATGAGCAAAAGTGAATGGTGATAAAACCAGATACTAATGAGTTTAGGACGACAGAAAAATCCAGATCTCTTTAGGATGGGTGAAAGTAAAAAAAAAAATCTCTGTGTTAAGGAGAAACATCTGTGATTTCTTGTTTCTATTGAGCTATCTCTCTAGCATTTTTTTGCTCTAAAACTAGGATGATATACATGATTTCTGGGCCACACTGAATTGCCATCCCTGGCCTGTAAATTCGCCACCACTTAGGTCATCAGGCTCGCCACTTTGAGATACAGCTTTCAGACTGAAGCATGGTAACTCTTTGGTATCTTCGACTTAGGAAGGAATCCTATGCGGGTACTAGTCATTGCAGTGATGGAACTTTGGGCACTAGCCAAGTGATTGGAGATAATGGACTTGAGTTTCTTATGTTTGCTTATTATGAGTAATCTCTTTGACGTCTGACAACTTGTAGAATTCAATCAAACTGAGGTTCAAATCACCAACTGGGTTCTGTTCACTGAAAAAAAAAGTCTTTTAAAACTTTGGAGAAACCTACTTTTGCCTCTCCCGGTGTTACCATCCATCTGGTTCCTTGACTTCTTCCAGTCTCCCTGTTTATCCATATTGTTAACCCACTTATACAAAAAAGCATTTCTTTGTCTGATTTTTGATGGTGCCAACTGCAGTTATGCTTCTGAGACCTCCCTGTGTACCTACTGGTTCCCATGTCTGCTGTGGCACTTTGTGTCTCCTTCATCTTCAGACACTGTAATTGAGCAAAATAAATGTGAATAAGGCAAACATCCAAATAAGGCAGGTAAAGATGGAAATAAATGGTTGATAAGTGGGCAGCAGCTGCATGAACTACAGATTTGACTCCTGGAGCTATTTCACAGGTAGATGAGGAGGATCTGCTGACTCTAATGTAATATAAGAATTTCTGTTGACTGAGACTTTCTAGTGTTGATGTCACTAGGTGTTTGTTGATCTTGTTTGTCTGGTCACTTGCTAACTTCGGGCAATTCTTGACCACGACTGTCTCAGGAATTTCTACTTTGCATTTTCAATTGTAATTATATGATACTATTCAAAATGCTCCAAGAATTTCTAGATATTTGGCCATGTTTTCTTTTGTAATTATATTTTCTCTATATGTTTGAGTTTGGGGATTGTCTACTGACCAGTTGAAAATTGTAGGTGCTTCCCCGAGTTATGTCCAGCATGTGGATAAACACAACAAAGTCAAGGAGAATTTTTTTTAAAACTTGTTGTATAGGCCTCCGTCCCTTAAAGATTATATCTCTGTGTTTGTATTACCTGACTCTCATTTCTTATGGATCTTTGAAATAATTTTAGCTCCCAATTCTGAATTACTGCTCAGTACACTCAGTGTGTGATAGAAGGCACATGAGACTTAGATTCAGTGTCTTAGATTTTGAGTCCTTGTTCTACTCCTGAAGATCAGGATTTAGGACACATTCCTTGACTTTACCATATTTAACCCATCCCCCAATAAAGGTGAACACATGCATTCCCCAGTCATATCAAATTAAACCCAACTATGGATACAAAAGAAATTATGGAAATTTTACATTTTTACTATAACACCACGTTCTTCTCCTGTGGGGGGGGGTGACCAGAGATAGAGACTCATTAACTTTAAAGAATAACCTTTCCATGTTCTAGTATGTTTTTCTTGTAGTAGGTTCATAGACTTAATCATTATCTTAATGTACTAAACCACCTCTATATCTGCCTGACTAGATTCTGTTTCCTTGCAAGCTGAAAAATCAAAGGTAACTTTTAGAAAACCAGAGGACTTGACATTTAAGGTAGTCGAATCAAGAATCATTATGGATACCTTAGACAATCTATTGTGTAGTAAGCTTTATCATTGAACTTTCTTGGACTGCCAGTTTGCCAATAATGACATAAAGATATATTATTACTTTTGAACGTTTGGCCTTTAGTCTTTTTCCCAACTATCATTTCCCAAATTGATATCATTTCCCAAATGAACTTTCTTCTATTTATCCATGTTCTGCCATGTGGCTATTACATATCTTCCAATTTGTATGTCCAACTTCCTCTGCATCTCGCTGGAATCTCCCATGTGCCTGAATTCATCCAGCATTCCCCTCTCTGCCTGGAAGTCCCGCCTGTTCTCTCCTGCATACCTATTGACCATTCAGTTCTTTGTTAAACCAATTACAGTGGCTCATCTTCACACAGTGTAAACAAATATTCCACACCATTGGGTGAAAAAGAATTAGAATCTGAAAGGGAGCCATGCTTTCAGAAAACTTCCTGCTCTCCATTTTACCCACTGGCTGTATAGGTTTGGTGGTATGAAGATGAATTTTTCTCTGTCACTATTGACTAACTCTCTGATTATAATCTTCATTCCAGCTGTGCTCTTGCTTTCTAGCTACATCTGAACCATGGCCATAAATCTAAACTGTACTTGAGGTTCCATGGATGTGACAAAAAAATTCTTTAGCTTGAGGTGACTGGCTCATGGGGTTATAATGTTTATGGCAATATTATTACAACTATTACAGTATATTTTGGACTTTCTCTTGAGTAAGAAGGTACTGCAACTTTGATGTGTGTGTGTGTGTGTGTGTTTGTGTGTGTATGTGCTTCTATGTGTGCAGATGTTTGTATATGTGTGATGTTAGAGTTTGTATTCCTGAACAACCTACATGATATTATTTACCCATTGAATCCCCCATTTAACCTCCAATTTGTCCCAAAAAACTTTGTTGACATCTTAAGAAAATGTACATTAAGTCTGACAGCCTAGAACACCAGAAAGATGCATTAACTTTAGAGATGACTTCACCTTTTCTGAATACCATCAAAAAAACCTAGAAAAAATAGTCTTTTCTTTAACAAGTGCTAATTAAATTCTGGAGTCATGTAATTCATCATTTCAATGGTGATATGTTTATCTAATATTCATTTCAGGAAAAAGGGTTAAACATTATTTCCTCTAACATTTACCCCTGAAGACTTAAAAAAAATACTCAGCCTGCCCCTATAACTGTACTTGATTGGAACAGGGATATTTATCCATTTTTTTTCTGGACCATTTTTGTGCCACAATCATCTCATTTAATCCTTACCACATATTCATTTTATAATTGAGGAAAACGAGGCTAGAGAGTTTAGTAACTTTTTCAAAATTCTATACCTAGATCAAGAATTCTGGTCCTAGGTTTGGAGTACCTGGGTTTGAATCTTAAATATAAAGTGAACATGAAAACAATTTGAAAAGTATCAGAGGCATTGATAAGACAGTCTATTTGTATGATTTGGCAAATGATAAATGATTTGGGTAAGAAGTTCATGGTGCTTTTCAGGAAAGAATGATGGAGTATAGGTGCCAGACAGGGAAACTGACTTTGTCCCCAGGGAATTTTAGCCAAGTAAAAACGTATTTTCAATGATCTCGAGTGAGGAGGAGGGTTGCTATTGACATGATAAGTAGAGGGTACATAATAGTGTTGTAACCAGAACAGAACATTGTACACACACAGTGAGCAATAGTCCAGCCAACAGTGCTGAGGATAGAAAACAGTAAGCTACCTGAGTCAGGATAAGGACATAGAGATGTGAACCCCCCCCCCCCAGGCTTTTCAAATCTCAAAGTTCTGTTAAGATAGATGGCTGTAAGTGTTCGTATAAACATATTAATAATTATAGTGCATTTAAATCTTTTTTAACTAAACATTTAGTCCATGGTTCAGTTGAGCTTGGACCCAGACTACAGTGCCAGGAAAGACATGGCTATCATCTTCAACATTTATGGGTTATAATGTGAGAGGGGAGGGCACTCCTTGACAGATAGTTTTCAGATGTAGGTTAGCTCTGTTTTTCTTGCATACTCCTTATGCACACAGTCTAAAGAAAGATTAGCAGAAAGTTGTTAGTGGACCTGCATTTTCATAGCAGCCACCAGTCATGGTCGAGTATGGGGCTTCACATTTATGATGCCAATATAACATCTCACAATGCTCCAGAATTTGGAGTGCTTTATAGTTCTAAATTTTGGGTTGGAGGTGTTCTCTATTTCACATGTCTCTACACATGAATCCTTTGAGGATGGGGCCCTGAAAACATGGTGAGGTTAAGGGTATGATGAAGTTGAAGGTAGAGACTGAGATCAGAATGGTACATGAAGGCCTTTTTACATATGTGTGCTCTCTGAAGAATGTTGGGTCTTTCTCTAATAGATAATAAATAGTTATTGGAGGCCATGAATCAAGGCCAGGAGTGGGATGGACTTTTGATTTGTTTTATGCACATAGAGAATATAAATGTACACCTGTGCCTGTATTTACTCTGGCACACATGGAAGTCAGAGAACAACTTATACATTTGGTTCATTTTTCACCATGTGTGTTCTGAGGATTGGATTCAGGTCATCTGACTTGGACACAAGCTCTTTACTTACCAGTAAGTAAGCCATCTTGCCTACATACAGGGTGGCTTTTTTGGTAACTTATTTCATTGGTTACTTTTCTTCTTGTTGTGAATAAATCATGGATCCAAGACACTTAGGCGAGGGAAGGTTTACTTTGCCTCCTAGTTTGGGGTACATTCTGTTATGTCAGGGAAGGGGTTGTTGCTGGATCATGAGGCAGATGTTCCCATTTTACCCACAGCCAGGATGCAGAAAGAGATGCTTTCTGGTGTTTAGTTCACTTTTTTGTTTGGTCTAGGACCCTGGTCCATGGGGTGATGCTGCCTATATTTGAGGTGGGTCTTTCCGGTTGAGTTAAATATCTCTGAACCCTCCCTCGAAGGGTTAAGATGTGATAGTATAAATCCCATCAAGTTGACAATGAAGAGTAACTGCCTCAGAAATTATCTTGATGTATTAGAAATAACCTTGGACATGGATTTATAACAAAAGGCAATCTGGTCAGCTGAATGCCTCGGGACAAGTCATTTACTCTATCTATACACTTAGCTTCTCAGCTGTTCATTGCGTAAGTCAATACTATAGAGACCAGGTCACAGTGGCAGTCTTGGTGAATACAGAACACCCTTGTCAACCTTAGTGTGTCTTCCTCGCCTGAAAAATTCCCTCTCATGAGTATACATTTTCATGCCTCAGTGAAGAGTCTATTATATATATATCAAGCCTGAAATCACACATACATATATAATACAGTCATTAATAAATGATTGGATTACTTATCTGGCACAATAAGTGGTTTCATTTAGGTTTTTCAAAAGAGCACGAGGCCAATACCCATCCGCTTTTGTTTCCCTCTTGTGACACTGGCATATGCGAGGGAACATTTGAGCTTCAAGAAAATTAAAAGAATCCATCACGTTTCTCCCTTTTGGCTGGAAAAGTTTCTCTGCTCTAATTTTTCACGGTGCTGCAATGAAGCTTCCAAAGAACTCCCCCATCAAGGCAAACGTATGGTGCTCATTTCTACACATAACAGATTATTCTTTTGCACATATCCCAGCTGCTGTACTTTTCTTGGAGTTCTTAAACAGCCAAGCATTCATATTATTGCATGTTCCTGCTCTGCAGAATCACTTTCGCAAGCAATAGAAACACCATAAGTTTTGAAAATTCTCGAGTCTTTCTAATGTGAATGAGGTCATATCAAAGATAATCATGTGGAGAATATGATTTCCCTTGTCTTGTCTATAGAATCTTTCCCTCCATGTGGTAGCATCTGTATCCTTTTCTCACATTTTATCTCTCCCCTACCTGGATCCACATCCTGTAGTGTGTGTCTTGGCTCTCTGTGCTCCTATCTTTGGGAATCTCACCTATTCCTTCCAAAGAATGATCCTCACTTTGCATATTAACAGAGCCTCTCTCCTTCATCAGGCATTTCTGATTCCTCTAGCCATTGATGTTTGTTTGTTCCATCCTTATACTAAATACACTACCACAGATCCTATGTTATATACAAAATGGTTACTTTCAATCTTCCAAATTAGCTCTTACCTTTAAGATTTGTTTTCATTTATATGTTTGTGTGTTCACATATGCCTACATGTGCGTGTGCTTACACACATATGCTACATCTGTTAAGGGGCCCACAGAGACCAGAGGAAGGTATCAGATTCACTGGAACCAGAGTTGTAAGTGGTTTTGAGTCACTCAGTGTGTATGTTGGGAACCAAACTCATGTCTTAGGTAAGAGCAACAAACACTCTTTTAACCATGGATCCATCTCTCTAGTTTTCCCTCATCTTTAAACAAGCAGTAGATCTCAGATGCTGTAGGAATTCCTGCAGCCAGTAGCCTTTAAGTTACCCACCTATTCGGGTGGGGCCTCATATACTATATATGCTAATGTAAAGCATGTGTTTTCTCTCTCTTCTGGCTGCAGCATTTTGGATGCTTTTCCCTGTTCAAGTAGAGCATTGCGATCTGTGAGTCTACCCCTAAATAAATAACCCTCTATTATATTCAATTCTGAGCTAGTGTGGGTTTTCTTTTAAGCGTCCTTCTTCATCTGGTGCCCAGTATGGATTCGGACTCCAAGAGGATGGACATTGAAGAGGCTCCTTATGAAGTTTGATAGCCATTTGGGCAAGAAACTGCTCTTTCCTGGACTTGTTGGTGAACTGGACATACAGAACCCACAGAGAAATGACTGCTGAACTTACCTAAAGGTGAGACTGCCCTTCGAGGTTCCTGCTACATGAAAGAGTCTGCCAGACACATTCTGCAGGACACAGAAGAAAGTGACTGAAATTTCCAGCTTTGTGGGAAAGTCTGCTGGATACTATGGGTCTGTAGGCTGAAGATGGATGCCCCAATGGTACAGAAGAACTTTGGGTGACAGTCCAAAATGAGATGTCTCTGTCAATTCTAGAATTTTGAAAGTTTGAATTTTGAAAGAGGGCTAGGTGGGGAAAATTAAGCTGAATGCGGGGAGAAAGAAGGTCAGAGGAGTCATGTAGTCCTGCCAGAGACAGATGATGGAACTTTTTCTGGTAAGTCACAGCCTTGTGGTAATACACAGATTAATAGAAATTGGTTAAATTAATATGTAAGAGTTAGTCAACAAGGAGATAGAGTTAACAGGCCAAAAAGTGATTTAATTAATACAGTTTCTGTGTACTTATTTTGGGGATGGGCAGCCGGGAACCAACAAGCAGCCTCCTTACAACACTCAGAGCTTCTGCTCTCTCTCTCTCTCTCTCTCTCTCTCTCTCTCTCTCTCTCTCTCTC